TATATATTTATAATACCACATACATTTATGGTATATATATTGAGCTAAAATCTTACCCAATCATAAGGATAGTATTTTGCTAGTTGAAAATTATATATTTGTATATTTTAAACATTTTAATCGATAATAGAATTATATAATACAGGCCGTATGAACAATATACCAATTCATAAAAATTATAATTAAAATACATAAATTTACACAATTAATCTCTTACCTATATTAACAACACACATTATTAAATCTAGGAAAAATACAGTAAAATCAGTTTTTGTGAATAAATAATTTCGAACAATCAAAACATTAAAAATAATGATTTTCATAAATAATAAATTTAAATAATTTGTTTGAATAAAAATATATAATATGAAAAATTTCTTTATTAAAATATTTTCAAATGTGCTCAATATTGCAAGTAGGCATTTAAAAAAAAAGTAAATAATACAATGCACATCATTCAATTGTTCAGTTCTTTAAGAATTGTATCTATTATTATTAATAAATTATATCTACATTTTTTGGATTTTAAAAGTAAAATAGTAATAATATTCACTAATAAAATTAACATATATAACATAATATAATTCTACCAGTTTCTACAATTTTCACAATTACATTTACAATTAAACCTAAGAATAATTGTCTCACAATACAGTGCAATCTACTCTATAATTAGATAAATCAAATTAATCACAAACTATGATTTATAATTAATAAGATGTTATGTACCATTATGTGAATAAATAACTCATAATTTAAATTTAAGTATAGATAAATGTTTCTGAATACATACTTTACAGACAGAATGAATCTTAAGTAGACGCTGATTGGTTTAAAATAAAATAAATTGTTATGAAGATAAATAAAAAAGATGCATTATTTTCCATATTAATTTAATAACACAGTAAAAAAAAATATACACAATTACATTTTACATTCAAAATAATGTTATTAATTAAAAGGAGATCAACAATTTGTAACAAATTTATTTCCCAATGATAAGATATTTTAATTATAAATTATAAAAACTGCAAGCATTTTGAAGAATCATTAACCAATAATCAAAAACATTACAAACCTAATTTACTTAAATTAAACATTATATATTTTACATGACACACGATTTGTTATCTCATTAAGAAAATTGAGAATGATCAATAATGAAGATTTCTATTATTTTCTTTGAATAAAATTTAATTTTTCGATTTGGATAAAATAAGACMGCATTGATATTAATATGTTAATTATTTTATTTATTTATAAATAATTTAAAATTCTAGGTTATGTTACATTTATTAAAATATAGGTACTTAAAACATTAGTTATGATAGCTTAATCAATTATTCTTTTAAATGTTGATATTTTCATTCAAATCTCTCTCTTTCTATATATATATCAATAATCAATCTCCTTAGTATTCATAACATTATTTTTTACACCTTTTAAAATATATTTTTGCTAAGTATAAATTAACAAAAGTTTCAAACTTTTCATGTTATTTTCTATTAGATGAGGATAAAGTATGAAAAGTATCTAAACTAGATTGAATTTGTTGCATATGAATTTCCACACAATTTTCAAAAGATTTTTGATTAGATTGACTAAGTTTAAGTTTTATTTCAACCATAGTTCTTTTTAAAGCATCCAATTCATAAGCAGTAGGTTCATTTTCAGTCAATGTTTTCACTTGAAGCATTAAAGCTAATAAATCTTTAATTAAAGCTAACATGGGCTGATCATCAGACATAAAACGGGAGTCAGTTACTTCTTTGTTATGCTCAATCATCTGTTCAGCTTCATCAAATGATTGATTTTGTAAATAATCTGTGATTAATGGCCACGTTTCTGCTTCTTCGGGTGCTAATATTTTAATTTCTTCACTAAGCACACACATAACTGATGTTAAATGTAGATTTAAGTTATCCAAATCCAAAACAATTTTGGCATACCGACTCTGAAATTCTGATGTTATATCTTCATTGTATAAAACCATTCTTTCAGCTTCAGAATTCATGTTACGTAATGTKTGTACATATTGTTTTTTTGCTGTCAAAATTTTTCTGAATTTTACAGTAGATTCTAAAAGTTTCATAGAATATTGTGCAGTTGTATTCTGATYGGTTTTAAGTATGTCCACTTTAGTTTCAGGTGATATTGAACGGTTATGGTAAGGTACACGTGGTCGACACATTTGTAGCAATACATTTTTTGAAATAGTTTCTGGTGGTTGGTTAGAACATACTTCATAATCAAGAACTGAATGTGTACCCAAACCAGCCTTATCAAAATGTATTCGATAAGTATTGTTGGATACATCCAAAGCTTCAATAGTTCCATTAAATAGACCATCTTCAGTGTTACTACTTCTTAACATTGCTGTTACTTTTGTACCAACAGTAAGTTGTAAAGGTATTTCATCTGGTATATCTTTAAATAACAATTCATCTCTTGCTTTACTTTGTTGTAGCAATCTTATTTTTTTTCTTCTCCTATCTAACTCTCTTATTTCTTCGTCGAAGAAATTCTGAGAACATCTTCGAGGTTTACCCATCATCCGCCGTAACATACACCATTCAGTTCTGGTCATCGTTTTAATTTTAAATGATGGAAAGAAGTCTTGTACACACATCATAAAATCAGATTCATATAAAAGAGGTTTATCTATATTGCTATAAAACCACTCGTAATATATCCAGTTCTTAGCTTTTGGTAATTGAAAAATTTTTCTAAGTCGTAATCCAACATTTTGACAACGCTTACGTTCCAAAGAGTCAGATTTTGGTTTGGATGTTGACACTATGTTTTTAGGAGTTTCAAGTTTTATAGCTTTTGGTTTAGCTACACCGTTTTCTGTTGACTTTTTAGAAGCACTTTTTACGGGAGTTTTCACGTTGGGAGTTTTAAGTTTGATTGTAGGTGTTGTCTTGACAGCAACTTTTGGAGTTTGTAATTTTTGATTGGGAATTTTTTCTTGTTTAGGTGTTTTTGGTGTTTTT